GCTGTTTGCCAGCCACACCTTAAGGTTTTTATACAAGCTGTGGATGTATAAGCAGATTAAGAAAAGCTTTGACAACAGCTGGCCAAACGCCTACTACCCACCAATGGACAAGCCGTCATTTTTTAAATCTAAAAACAATAAACCAAATGAGCAGAGAAAGTAAAAAACTGATACAGGCAGTTACGTTAGAAACCTGTGAAGAGAATTTTGCAATATTCAATCGTTGCGTAAGCAGCCTGCAAACACTGGAAGGCAAAATGAACAATGAAATTACAACGGTAAAGGAAAAGTACGAAAGCAAAATAAATGCGTTGCAGGAAGAGAAAGAACAGGCATTTGAAGTAATGCAGGCTTACGCTGAAAACAATCCGACTGAATTTGAAGGCAAAAAGAGCAAGGACTTTACTCATGGCACTATCGGTTTCAGAACCGGTACGCCAAAGCTCTCCCTACGTAAGGGGTATAAATGGGCTGGTGTGCTTGACCTGGTTAAGCAGCACATGAAAAAGTATATACGCACTAAGGAGGAGCTTGATAAGGATGGCCTGCTGATGGCACGTAAAGACGTAGACCTTAAAACCGTTGGGCTTGAAGTGGTGCAGGATGAAAGTTTCTACGTGTCTCCAAAACTTGAAGTTGTAAGCGCATAGCGCTGTTTAAATAGTTATCCCTAATAAGGGTAGCAAGTAGAAGAATTAACCCCCGCTGTTTCTACAGTGGGGTCACCAGGGAAGGAGGCGGAGTGGTCACGCACCGGGATACCGGAGGTCGAAGGTTCGAATCCTTCCCTTTCCACAGTTTTAGAGTTAGAGGGTTTGCCTCCGGTGTTTCCACACCGGGGCATTTTTAAACATTCATTCATTCACAAAACCAAAATCAAAATGCAAACAGCATCTGTTTCACCGATTAACATTCACGATTACAAAGCTGGAAAATTCATCAGCGCTACCGGCAACCTCATCGACATTAACAACCCCGCCCAAAGTAACCTCTGCATTGAAGACATTGCCATCGGCCTAAGTAATATCTGCCGGTTTGGGGGGCAAATAAGAAACCCATACAACGTTGCCCAGCACAGCATATTTGTAATGTGCCTGGCACCGGATGAGCTTAAAAAAGAGGCGCTCTTTCATGATGCGGCTGAATCCTATGTAGGAGATGTAATAAAGCCGATTAAGCACATTTTGGGCAGTGCTTATGCAGAAATAGAAGAAGCCTTTTTGGTGGCAATATGCGAGCGCTTTGGCGTTGATATTTATAAGATGATGGATGTAAAGCCATACGATATGCAGGCCCTGGAGCTGGAACACGAAGCCCTGCAAATGGGCAATCCGGTTCCCCTGATGGTAAGCATGAACAAACACAGGATGCCAGAACCAACAATGCACTTCTGTTGGGATAACGTTACCGCCCGCCGTATGTTCCTGGAACAGTACTACAAACTGTTCCAATAAGCCTGGTTTGTACCAAAAAACCTTCGAATCTAAGGGGTGTAAGCCCCTTTTTACACCCTAAAACATAGATAAGTGATTGAATTACAGGAATCTGTTAAAAAAACTGCTACACCAAAACGTAAACTTTCTGGCAAAAAAATGAGTGTGCAACAATTCATGCAGATTCAACACAGTGACGTAAGTCATTTATTATCACAGGAGTTACGAGATAGCTTAGGCGCAATAGAAAGCGGTTTCGACATATTCATATTTGGCGGTAGCGGAGACGGTAAGTCATCATTCACCGGTAAGCTTATTAAAGAGCTTTCACCCTTTGGAAAAAAGCTGCACCTGGTTTATGAAGAGGGGCATAGTAAGAGCGTGCTGCTTAACCTGGAGCGTGCAGGGATTACTGATTTGCCGGAATATGAGATTATGGACAACTGCACTTACGAGGATCTGGTTTACCTGTTGCGGAAAAAGAAAAGCCCCAAAATCATCATCATTGACAGTTTTCAATATGCCCGTTTCACCAAGGCCGAATGGCTGGCTCTAAAGGCAGAGTTTGTAAAGGGTAAAAAGAAAAAAATCTTCATTGTTATTTCTCACGCAGATGGTAAAAAGCCCCGTGGCAGTGTTGCTGTAGATGCAATGTATGATGCGCAGATAAAAGTATTCATAAAGGGAAAGATTGCCTTTGTAAAGAGCCGGTATGAGGGTAAGAAAAACTTTGTGATATGGGAAGAGGGCGCAAAGGCATTTTGGGGCAAACAGTACAAGCGGATGTTAACCAAACAAATTTTTTAGCATGACACAAACACAGAAAGATATGGTAGCGCTGCTGCTGGCCGGTGGCAATATTGCCCGGTATAGAAACGGCGTGGCCAGGGTGCGCAATACCGATAATGAGCCGGTGTGTAAAATAAACAGCCGCACACTACAGGCGCTGCAATTCATCCTACGCAAGCAGGATAATGGGCTGTTGGTAATAGATAAAAGAAAAGTGCGGCAGCTGAATGGCAACTGCACCATTAAGAAAATGTATAAAAACCTTAACAATGAAAAAAAGTAACTACCTGCTGGCCGCATTGCTGGCCCTGCTGGTTTCCTGCACAAAAGAAAACAGCGTAGAGTGCGGCATTATAACAGCCGCCACGCCTACCAGCATTACAGTAAACGGAAAGGTAATAACGGTTACCAATGGCAGCTTTGTAGACCTTATGGGCCGCACCATCTACTACTACAAAGTGGGCGACAAATACTGCAAATAAACCAAAAATGAGAAAACCAGCAGAATACCTGTTACTGTTCATTGCCTCCATAGCCCTTCTGTGTGTGATGGCACTAATGGTAATTATGCTGCAATGGATTTGTGAACAATTTTAAACCAATAAAATGATAAGCGTAAACTTAACCGACAGGCAGGGCGAAGAGCTGCAATTGGGGGATGTTGTTTTAAAACATCGACCCAATGAGCGCCTTAAATACTTGGGCGTTCTGTGTTTCGACGAAAAAAGGTATGTATTCTACCTGAGCAATATGGATGAAGAATTACGGGATGTTGACAGCTTTCCCGGTTTAACGTGGGAACGTACAGAACGCCTGTTTCGATTTGATGAATGCCCATCCATAAAAAAAGAGCTTGGCAGCATTAAGCTGGATAGGAAACAGAAATTAGAAAAGATTTTAGACCCTTATTACGACATATTATTAGTTAGCTAACCAAAAATGTTTTTTATGAAAAAAGTTCATTCAATGGAATGGTTTGAAGAAAAATTCCAGGATAAAATTTTAGATGGCCGTTTCTACTGCTTCGGCACCTGTAATGGCGCTGATTATTCATTTTGTTCAGATTCTAAGGAGGCGGCCAGGTTTTTAGCAAAACACAGCTTGATGCACAACGGCCATATTGTTAATGAAGAGGAATCCGGGCTGGTAAGTCAAATACATGTTTTGAACAGAAAAATAGAAGAACTGAAAATCGAACATTCATCCGAGTGTACTCAAATGCGTGACCATCGTAAGGCTATGCTAATGAGTGTTTATTACTTACTGGATACAATTACATCGGCAGGAACCCACGGCGAAAAAAGGGTAATAATTACCCATCTGAAAGCAGTTATTGCCAATATGGTTAATAACGGAGATAGTTTTCCTTTTCAGCAACCAGAATTTGGATATCTGGCATTTTAATAATTTTTTATGCGCCTTTTCAACCTCTCCTCCACCAAATTTGAAGGCACCATAGAGCTGGTCTACAACGATTTTAACCAGCTGCAAAGCTTTGATGCCGTCAGCGCAGTGCTGAATGATACCCAAATAGAATACCTGCTGTCTATCGTGCCGCCTAACCAGGAAGGCCTGCAAGACCTGGTAAACAAAAGCAAAAGTATCAGCATTGTTGAATCTGCGGTTGAAATCGACTTTGAACAGTTCTGGAAAGCATACCTGCACAAACGCAACCGCTTTAAGGTAGAAGAGGCCTGGGATAAAATGGCTAAGAGTGAACAGGTAAAGGCCTTCTTTAGTCTGCCAGGTCTGGCTGAATACAAAAAGAAAAACCCATGGTACAGCATTATGCTGGGCGACCGCTACCTGAAAGAAAAGCATTACTTAACTGACTGGAAAAATCTAAAATCATGAGGCTTGCCACCACCGCCCAGGTAAGGGCTGTAAACATTACCCTGCGCAATTTGGGACAGTTTGATAATAAGGCCGAAATAATTGGCCAGTTTACCCACCAGCGAACAACGCACAGCAGCCAGCTCACTATTGATGAAGCCCGTAACCTGCTGACCCAGCTAATGAAGGATAAAAAGCCCAACCCGGATAAAGCGAGCCAGGCTATGACAAATAAGCTTTTTGCCATGGCCCATGAAATGGGGTGGATTGGCACGAAAACAATTGTAGTGGGTGGGCAGCTAAAGAAAGTAAAGGACTACAGCAACGTTCATGCGTGGGTGTTAAAGTACGGGTGGAAAAAGCAGCCCCTGAATAAATATACTTATGCTGAAATGCCGAAATTGGTATCTGTTTTTGAATTTGGCGTTTACAAAAGCTATCTTGCTAAAAAACCAAAATAAGCCAACTATGATTAAGGTTTTCATAACTGCAATGGCCTTTTGTATTGCCTGCGTTATAACTAATGCCCAGGAAAAAAAGAAGGCCTGGGAAACGATCGGTATTGACTCTGTACAATTTGAATATGCTTACGGAACAGAGTTTGAGTATTATTGGCAGAGAGACATTCAATTGCGCAGCAGTTCAAAGGCATTAACAGTATTTGTAGGAGCCAAGTATTTTTATTTAAACCAGTTATCCATGTATCTTCAATACAACGGGTATACTGCTGAAGACAGCAAAACAGATGATTTTATATTTAGCAAAAATGGGGTGTATGGTAAAGGGCAGGCAAAAAATATGGTAATAAAGCCTTTTTTGGATAATAACGGCAGAATCAAGAAAGTGGTTATTACAGGTTTGGCGGACGATCTGTTTCATCTATTTATTTACTACTGGGAAAACAGTGAAATCTCTTTGAACCTGCTGAAGTCTAAAAAAGCTATATACCAAGACTTCAGCTCAGACAGAATTAGTCTAACATGGCCCGGTGTTAATCCGGTGATAACCATCACCAGCAACCCCAATTTGAAATACTTTGCTGATAAGGCATCGTTAAAATGAGTTGCCTGAAATCAATTTCTTAGCCCTGCCTAAACGGCGGGGCTTTTTTGTAAGGGTAAACACCTAATAGCTCGTATGTGTAATTTTACTATGTTACAGGTTCGTAGAAACCCTTTAAGACTAAATGCGCGAACATTTATTTTTAAACCCTAAACCCTAACTATGGAGATGATTCAGTACGGAAAGGAAGGCCTGATTATTACAATTCCTTGTGCAGACCCTGCGGCCATTCATGCCCAGCTTTTGCAAAGCATTACCGCAAACATCTTGTACAGCAGTTGCGCTGTAGACAAAAGCAAGTTTTATACAGATGAGGTAATGCCGTTGATTAACCTGCTAAAAGTAATTATGCCGGGTGAGCGGCACCTGAACAATGCGTACAAACTTTAACTTAAAAGCCCTCAATTTTTTGAGGGCTTTTTTTTGCAAATGTGGATAAAAAAATTATACTTGCATTCATGAGCAGGGGAAGCATCACACTCTTTTCTGACATCTTCGTTGAAACCATAGAAAGGCCGGACAAAAAGGTTAAAGGCAGATCTGCCGATTTGCACCAGCAGCGTAATGAACTGCTTGTTCACCGGTACTACTACTATGGCATTCAAAAGCTTCGCTATGATGTAATTCTTGATAAAATAAGCTTTGAATTTTTTTTAAGCCCGGTTACTATACCAGATT